CCCCCCCTCGGCTGCAGAGGGCGCGCGGGAGGCACGCGGCGCTCCGGCCCCGCGGAAGCGCAGCGAGGGCCGAGGGGTGGGGAGGGGAGGGGAGGGGAGGGGTGGACATGCAGTGTAGAGGCCATAGCAGAAGAGGAAGGTGAGTAAAGTCAAAGCACATCGTTACCTTGACCTTCTGCTGCATCTGAAGGCAAGACACAAAGCTTAGGACCCTGGAGCAAGAACTCAGCCCCCGGCAACAAGCCACATGGGCTTTCCACGCGACACGCCGACCCTTGGCGCTGAGGGCAGAGACATGGGGAGCAGAGGGTCCCCAAGGCCGGGACCCCTTTGGTGGCAGTCGATACCGCAAGCCCCTGAGCACCACTGCGGGGTCAGGCCCTCCTAGCAGTCACGTGCCACCCCCCCAGGGCGTCCCCGTGCACCGGGTGCAGGGCAGCTTCTGCTCTGCCTTCCCTGACTTACTTCCCCGAGGAGATGGCTGAGGCCACTCTGGGCAGACGCTTAATAGAAAGCGTGGGCATGGGAGGTCCTGTCCCCCAGCTTCTCAGGGGATTAACCACCCAACGGACATCCATGGGGCTCCTCCTGATGCCAGCCCAGCCGAGGTGCCAGGGACACATCAGTGGCTGAAACACACACAGTCCCCCACGGAGAGCGATGGGCTGGGGGGTGGGGCAGCAGCCTCGGACACAAGCCCACAAGCCCCGTCCCACCCCAGCGGCGGCACGGCGGGGCAGCAGGGGGCGCTGTGGCAGCGCGCAAGGCAGACATCTCCTCTGGCCCACAGGCTGGGAGGGCGGGAAGGCTGCCTGGGAGGGTGTCCCAGGCCTGAAGGAAGAGGGCTGCTAGGGGAGTAAACGGGACGCCGGGCGGGATGCTGGAGCAAGCGGCGCCCGCTCGGGGAAGTCAGTGTGGCTGTGGAGAGGCTTCTGGGGACGCGTCCACGGGCGGGGAAGAGAAGGGATGCGGTTGGAGCCAAACCATGAAGGGCTGTGAATGTGAAGCCCAGGGGCTGGGTCGGGAGGAAGTGTGCATTTGAAATGGATCCCGCCGGCTGCTCAGAGCAGGGAGAATGGTGGGGGAGACCGGGGCAGGCGGGGGGCGGGGGGCTGATGGAAACATACAGATGGAGGACCAGGGCGGTGGCGGTGGAGAGGTGCGGCCCAAGAGCTGAGCTGCGCACGAGCCCCAGGAACAGGGACCCCGCTGATGTCACATCAGGGGATGTCGGACCCAGGAGGGCTGGTGGGATTCATAAGGGGAGGCGGGAGCGGATACAACTTACACACTTGAAAGAAAATGTTGGTAGCACAGCGGGCGGACACAGAAGCAAGCACGGGGGGCTTTTTCAAATGTGGGGATGCACCGCACTCAGTTCCCTTTTAACGAAACTGGGGGTGATGGTGGCACTCGCACGAGTGTCCAGCTGAGGGGCTCAGGACAGTGTGGGTTTAGCAATGACAAGGACATCACTGACAGACTAAGGGGAAAGGACCAGGGGGAGGGTCACCCACCCTCAGACGGAACGGGCAGCTGGGAGAGGCCCGCAGGTTCTGTGAGCTTCCTGGGAGCCCGTGGGAGTCCCCGTCAGCCCTGCAAGCACGCCGGGCCCCCTGGCCTGGGCCCCCGGCACCCAGCCCAGCAACATAACACCCTCACCTCCAGGCCAGCCCCCAGAGAGAGAGGTCACATGCACGTCCTCCAGCCTTGCTGCCACAGGGCTTTTCACTGTCAGCTACGCCCCTTCTTTTTCGTTTGTTCTCTCCCAAACACCACACCAATCGCTCAACTGTATGTACCAAGGCCTTCATGCCCCCACATTTTATTGGGTTTTGACCGCTAATCCAGTTTGCAAAACCACACGTCTGTTTGTTTCAGGAAACAAGTGTGAAAATAATGTACTTTCACCTGACTGCCCCCACCAGGACAGACACACAATCCAGACATCTATTCTTGGCTTTGGACATCAACCTCTTTCTCCCTCCTTGTTCCCATCTACTGGCACTCCTTCCCTTCTAGACTCACCGCTTCCCGTCTTGAGTGAGTTCCTTCAACAATCCCCTCAGCCTCTGTCTCCTCAGCTATAAAATGAGGGTGCCCGGCACGGCTGCCCTATCGGGCTGTGGGAGTGCTCAGGGTGGTGACCCACACTCAGTGTCGGGCGCTGGCGAGCGTGGAGCGCCTGGGAAGCCACGCTTACTATAAGTTTAGGCCCAGCTTTTAGTTTCTCCTTTACCCAACATGCATTTTAAAGTCTCAAAAGCCATCCCGTGGCACACGAGCCACTGGCCCAGCTCTGCAGTGGGCATGTATTTGACAGCCGTGGATTGCACTCATCTCACTGTTAGGGTTACAGTGCTGAACTGGGGTGAATGTTGGCCCCTAAAGGCTATGTTCATGTCCTCACCCCTGGAACCTGTGGATGTGACCTTATTTGGAAAAAGGGTCTTTGCAGATGTGACGAAGTTAAGGATCTCAAGATGGGATCATCCTGGATCTAGGGTGGGGCCCACACCTAAATGACAAGTGCCCTTTAAGAGACAGAAGATGACACAGACACAGAGGAAAAGGCCACCTGAAGACAGACGCAGAGATTGGAGTGATGCAGCCATAAGCCAAGGGATGCTCGGGGCCGCCAAAAGCCGGAAGAGGAAGGAAGGATCCTCCCCTAGAGCTTCCAGAAGGAACCAGCACTGCTGCCACCTTGCTCTTGGATTTCTGGCCTCCAGAACCATGAGAGAATAGATCTGTTGTTTTAAGTCTTTTGAGCTGGGACAAGTGATAGCTCTAAGGCCAACCCAGCCTCCAGCTCTGCACTCCCTCTCACTCTTCCTGTTCACACCACTCTACAGCCAAGCTTTTGGCACGATAGCAAGTGGGTGGGAACTCAAGCAGGGCAGCCATGAACAGCTGTGCAGGTTGCGCACTGAGATGATAACCCTGTCCCTGGAGCACTGCTATGCACAGCCTGTGGAGCACCAAACACAATGGAGACGGCAGCAATATCCACACACAAAGCATTCTGGGACCCAAGTCGTTTCCTGGGAAGCTCAGGTCCAGGCTAGAATTAAGTGCAGAGGCCCAGAGCAAGGGAAGGGGAAGCCTCACAGGGGATGGTCCTGAGCTGCAGGAAGGAGGAAATCTATGGCTGAGTCAGGGTCTCTCACTTGAACTAAAAATCGCCTGTCTTCAACCAGAGACGCTCTCGGCAAACAGCGACACGTCGACACTGTGCTTAGGAAACCATCGATAATGGCATCCCCACGGGGCTCACCCCGACATGGGCCCCCCCCGACACGGGGCTCCCCCCGACACAGGGCTCCCGTGGGTGGGCTTCTCAGACACATTCCATCTGTAACTATTCAGTTCACACACCCCGGATAGGGTCACAGCTACAGCCTAAAATGAAAGCCGCCTATGTTACGAAGCTGGTGTGTAACGTGGTGGGGGGACCACACTCTCCTCTTCCTTTAAAACAATTCGTGATTCTCTGGCTCACGGGGAGAAGCGGGGGCACCCAGGCAGCGGGCAGTGGCTCCTTGGGATCTGAGAGGGAGGGGAGGGCTGCCACACCTCCGAGGTCCCGGGGACGCCTGCCCTCTGCCTCCGAAGGGCCCACGTCCCCTAGGGTGAGGTCTGAAGCCACGTGGATATCCAGGGGCCCTCCTGTTCTACGAGAAACCCAGGGCTCACCCTTGGAAGATCAAGGTCATTGGGCCCAGCCCAGTCCTCTCTTCCAGGCCGCTTTACACTTCAGTTTGGCCGAGGTCCGTCCCCAAGCGTTTTAAAAAGTGCAGCACCACCTCCACCTCAGCCCGGGGAGATCTGCTGAGGAGGTGTCTTGGGCAGGCTGTGGAAGGTTCCTGAATCTTAACTTGCTCGGGGCTCTGCCCCTTCCCCTCCAAAGCCCTGGCCCCTCTGTTCACGTCGAGCAGCGGGAGGGTGCAGCCACAGGCGGCCGCAGGGCAGGTCCACTTACGCTGAATGCTGAAGCAGAATTTCTTCTGCTGGTAGGAGATATAGCTGGAGACAGCGCCGATCAGGGCCATGGCCAGAGCACTGGCCACGCCGGCAATGGTGCCAGTCTCTGCTGACATGCCTGGGGAATGGAGAGAGGCGGGGTCAAGCCCACGACGCCACAGGGATTGACTCAGGCGCCTGGCTCTCCGCTACCCGGCGAGCTAAGCTTGTTCTAGGGCCCGTGACCCCCAAGCCAGTGTGCGGGGGGCTGTGCCACTTATACCGAAGGGCGGAAAATGACACAGTGTGCCCATGGGTCTACCAAGTACTTTCCGTTTTCCGCAAGGATTTCCATTTTGAGCGGCTTGAAAGGTGACCGTGGAGGCGCTGCAGCCTCCGCCCCGCCAGCTGAGGCCCAGATAGGCCAGCGGGCTGCCCCTGGGGCCACTTCCCCGGGATCCAGAGCTTCACGCTTAATTCCTTTAAATGGCTGCGTTCCTCTGCTGGTGGCCTCACTGACGGGTCTCTACCAGGAACCGTCATGGGAGGGTCAGGAAGACCAGCTCTGAGACGAAAGCGGGCCAGTTTGTGGTTTCCAGCAGAAACCTCGGGACTCAAACTCACCGGATCCTGAGTCGTCCCCGCTGTCGTACTGGCCATCACCTGCAGAAAGGACAAAAGCCGTCAGTGTCCTCCGTGACCACCAGCTCGGGGTCGGGAGGGACAGCCCCTTCCCGACTGGCTGAGCCTTCCGGGTCCACCTCTGCCCCAGGCCCTGCCAGCACAGCCCCTGTGGGCTCTACCCTGACTGTAGCAAGACCTGCTTCCTTATGCCTGTCACCTGCCAAAGCCCAGGTGGGACGTTTTATTTTTGAAGTGACAGCGACTGTGCACTGAGAACGTGTTACATCCTGGCTCTTCACACGCAGTCCGCTGGGGCAGGTGCGCCCAGCAACCATCCCCAACGATAGCGCAGGGAGCAGAGGTGCGCAGGTGGGGGACTTGCCGGCAGGTGGCGGAGCTGAGCCCACGCCAGGCGAGCCTGCCTCTGAAGGATCACACCGCGTGGGTCCCATGCATCTAGTGTCCCCTGTAAAATATATTTATCGTTTACCTAATTATAGAAACACGGTTATGTAAAACTTTGTTTTAAAAAAGGACAAAAGATTAGCATAAAAATATTTCATCATCCTACTACCCAAAGAGATTTACAGTTAATATTTCAATTTCTTTTCCTCCTGTCCTTTGCCCTTTACCTGGTTTTCTTCAAATCCAGATGCTTCTGCTCATGTAACTTAGGTGCACATACGGTGCCCTTACAATACGCTACAGGATTAAGTGGTAATCAGGAGTTTTTTAAGGGCCATCCACTTCTGGCTTGGCCTAGAGTTTGAGTTGTTCTTGGAACATAAACCAATGCAGGCTGACAATCACCTATCTAGGATTTTGAAATTCAAAAGGCTCTGAAATACCACAGAGATGGAGAACAGATTAGTGGTTGACAGGGGTTAGGGAGGGTGAAGACGGAGGGAGTTGGCTGTGATGAAAAGAGGGAAACCGGAAGGATCCTTGTGGTGACAGAAGTGTTCTTTTCTTAACTGCAGTGGTGGTCACACAAACCTACATGTGATAAAATTTCATAGAATGAAACAGACACTCCCTCTCTCACTCACACACACACACACACACACACACACACACACACACACACACACACACCCACACACCCTGCCCAGACAGCAGCTCCCTAACAAGCAAGCGGTGCCATTTAGGACATTAATTAGCCTTGAGCACTCCCTTCACGGCACCCTCTTCTCAGGACATAATGCTCATTAATGGAGGGAGCCCGTGTTCCCAGAGCCCAGGGTTCTTGGGGGAAACTGCTCTAGTATGCTGGGGGGATGTAGGTGCATGAATTGTAACAAATGTACCCCCCTCCAGTGGGGCATGCTGCTAATGGGTAGGCTGGGGGCGTGGGGAACTCTCCATACAATGTGCTCAATTTTGCTGTGAACCTAAAATTGCTCTAAAAAATAAAGTCTTTTTTTTAAAAAATAAGGGTCTTGGGGGAGAAAATGAGATTTGCTATGTTCCCACCTGGGACTGAATCCTTGAGTTAAATGCATTTTACAGGCATCCATGATTGGAAATGAATGGTTACTTACAAAACAAGGAGCTGGCATTTTCAAAAACACAATCACTGCTGTCGGAGGAAGCAGAGCAGAGAGGAGGACATGAGTCACCCTGTGCATTAACGTGTGCGCAGCGAGGTCACTTGTGAGGACTGGCCCATCACTGGTCCCTTCTGCTGCGCCAGAGGCGGCTGTCGTCAAGGGTAGCGGCTACCCCTCACAGGCGTCCTCTGCTGACGTGTTCATGTCACTAGATTTCCAGATAGGAATGAGCAATTCAACCCACTCTTTGGTTCACCTTGAGCTGGAATGAAGCTGAGTGTTCCCAAGTCTCCCTTTCCTGATTAATTCTTGATCATGAGGATTCACAACAACTTGAACCTCACAATCTGTATGGCCAGGAGCTATGAGGGTGTTGCATGAAATGTAAACAGGAAGGCCCCCTGATCTCCAGGGGCATCTGGAGAGCTCTGGCTCCCCTTGGCTGTCAAAAATACTGAAATGCTCAATTCTTCAGTCTCTAGGAATCCCTGACTACCTGACCATCTGTGATTGGACGAAAGTGTTTTTCTAAGAAGACGACAAGTAAATGTTACTCCCTGCTCAAAAAGAAATGTGATCCCATCCTGTGGGTCACTCACTGCTCAGATGGGCACGTGGGCTGAGAATACTAAGAGGTTAAAGAACAATTGGAAAATAAGACCCCAGTTACCCAAGCCAATGTCACTGTTTTGATCCCTATTTGGCTACTGAGCTCCATTCACTTCCTCTGAGCACAGGCTGAACCCAGCTCCTTTATGAAATGCATGCCATGCAAAAAGTGGTACTGGGACAACTGATGACCCACTGGCATAACAAATTTATCCAAACCAACACCACCAATGGGAGTAAGTTTCCAATAAATATAAAACGGATGAAGCCATAAAAGCAGTACAAGAAAATGTAGGACAACATTTATATTGTCTTGGGGTAACGAATGACTTCCTAAACCTGGCCCTCAAGCCAGGAGCCTGAAATGGAAAAGATTATATCAAAAGTCAAAACTTCCATACTGAAAGCACAAGAAACGAAAGGGAAAAATGGATAAATTGGACTCTGTCAAAATTAAAAACCTTTGTGCTTCATAGAACATCATCAAGAAAGTGCAAAAACAGCCCACAGAATGGAAGAAAACATTTCTCCAGAGAGATATACAAATGGCCAATAAGCGCACGAAAAGAGCTCAGCATCCTTAGTCACCAGGGAAATGCAAATCAAACCCACGATGAGATACCACTTCACTGGCATTAGGATGGCCGCAATCCAAAAAAGGTAAATAGGTGTTAGTGAGGATGTGAAGAAACTGGATCTTTCAGACAATGCTGATGAGAATGTAAAATGCTACAGCTGCTACGGAAAACAGGTTGGTGGTTACTCCCAAAGGTAAACACACAGAGTTACCACAAGACTGAACAATTCCACTTCTAGATATATATATATATATATATATACACACACACACACACACACACACACACACACACACACACACCCAAGAGAATTGAAAACACCTGACCAAACAGAAACTGGTACACTGATTTCATTGCCGCATCAGTCGTAAAAGCCACAAAGTGGAAACCACCTAAAGGTTCATCAATTGATGAATGGGTAAATAAAATGTCTTTGGGGGGCTTCCCTGGTGGCGCAGCGGTTGAGCGTCCGCCTGACGATGCAGGGCACACGGGTTCGTGCCACGGTCCGGGAGGATCCCGCGTGCCTCGGAGCGGCTGGGCCCGTGAGCCATGGCCGCTGGCCCCGGAACCAAAAAAAAAAAAAAAAAAAAAAAGTCTTTGGAAGGTATGAAAAGAGATTAATAATCCCTAATGTAAAAGGAGCCCTTACACATACATGAGTAGAAAATGGGACAATGGGCATGAATAGGCAATTCACACAATATATTAAGAGTGTCTAATAAGACAGAGGTGAAAAGTGTTTCACTTCTTGGATGCAAAGAAATGGAAAATTTAAGCAGGATAGCATTTTGTACTGATCCAATCTGCAAAGATTGCAAAACTAAAATACCCAGTGAAAGTGAGTATATGAGCAAACAGGCAGCTGTCTCCTTCCTAGTGGTGGAAATGGCAGCTGGTACAACTGGAATGGAATGCCATGTGGCAGTACACGCAGAGAGCTGCATCTTTAAAAATTTACACCTCCTGTGACTCAGCAGTTCAAGTTCTAGGAATTGGTCTGACAGACAGTTAAGGTTTTATACATTTGGCAATGAGGAAGCTCATCCCAGCACTGTGTACAGTAGTAAAAAGCTGGAGGAAAAACCCTCTCTGTACAAATACAGGCCCTGGTTAAAGGAGGCACAGTGAAACATAATATTATGCAGGTGGTTGACATGATTTTTTAAAGGACGACTCCCTAATACAGAAAAAGATATTCAGGGTATTACTGAACTTAAAAAACTGGCTTTGAAGAGGTAACACGATCCCATTTTTGTAAAAATATTTACGAATATATACCTTATGCAGAGGTAAAACAATAAACAACTATTTTTCATAGAATTTTTCAAAGAATGTTGAAAATATGCAAAAGCCTCACGCAAATCTATCCAAATCTACTTTCCCACAACTGGAGAAATAGTTCCAAGAGGTTATTTCACAGGCCACTGGCAGGACCTTCATTTTCATGGACAATATGTTTTGTATCCTCACCTGCCTTCTGAGTTCACAATTATACATCACAACTACATACCAAAGAGTCTAGAGTCGCCTTCTATTGTACTAGAAATTCCCCGGTACAGCATATCTCAGATTACAATTTGCTTTGAGTATAGACACCTGTACATGTAGATAGTTATGGAATGCCAGAGCTCTGGGGACCACTGTCATAGCGATAGTGACTGCCATAGCGGTAGGGACTGCCACCATAGCTCAAGGGACCCCATAGCTATAGTGCCCACCATAACTATAAGGGCTCCTATAGCTATAGAGACCACTGTAGCTACAGAGAACACTGTAGAACAGGAGGCGTTACCCTGTTGTCAACAGAAATGTTACCTCAGCGTCTTCCAACATAAAAGACGACAATGCATTGATACATACAGACACATCAATCTTGAGTCACAACAGCCGCATGCCTGTCAGACAGGGATGCAATGCACTGACGTGTCCCTCACCGACAACAGTGCAATTCCAGACTCACAGCCAGTGCCTGACACGTCTGATTTGCCATGGGCATGGAGAGCCACGTGACAGTGGTAGATAACAGCTAGAATGGCCGAGGGGGGCCGTTCAAGTGTTTCAGGACCTTTGTAAGTATGCTAGACTTCCAGCAGCCACAGCTAGGAGTTTTAGATAGTTTTAAAAATTATCTTCATTATTTAAAAAGTGGCAGCAGAAATGCAAAGTAAAATTTAAAAAAACTGAGAAATGAATAAACAAAGAGGGACAAACACTTGCTTCAAATGACCCATGGTTACAAAGTCAAATCGAACTGAAGAGAGTCAGGCAGAACATGGCTCCCTAGGCTAACCGCTGGGGA